CAATGTGAAAATGTCGTCACTATTTAGGTCACTTGTGACGAAAAATGGTTGTCTCAGTCGAACTCATTCACCAAATGACTGTACAATTTATTGTAATATCTTAGAAATCCCTCTACAGTATCATATAATAATTTGTACACAGTTTATTGAGATAAATGAGTTCCTATAAATTCAATTAATGATTGGATGAATCGTTTTAGTGAAGGAAGGCTGATGGTTAAAAATGATACTTGTCATCTTGCCCAGTGAAAGCAAGTTTGAAAAGATATGTATTTTTAATTAAACAATTTGCTATCAAAGACCTCCAATTAGCACTTTGAAATATAGTTGAATATTTGAACAATGATATAAGTATTAAATACCTAAGATATCGTTTACTTTAAATTAGATTTTAAACATAATGATAAAAAGGACCCATTCTCTATATATCCACCTTGAATAAAGGTCTCTCCTGAGACAGAAGATTTGTGTTTTAATGGTCGCCATGCTTATTTTTGGAAAGGATGTTATTATCCATCCATTCTGTTGCCGAGATATGACCATTTCTGACAAATTAACTGTTCTTGTCATACAAATTAACTCACATGGAAAGAAATATAAAACTCGGAAAAATCTTTTAACTTTTGTGACAGAACGCTACAGAGGGGGTCACGTGACCGCCAATATCACGTGATTCGCGCATGCGCAGAACGGTGGTTGATGTGCATTAAAATCGGGGAGGATTAATTTAAAATATAATCAATATTAAAACCAAATATTGTTTCTTGTATGGAAGTTATTCAATTAGTTTGCGAACTTTTTGATCACTCCTCGTATTATTCAAAAAGCTTATTGCTATTCATATAATAATTAGGGGTGGCAATTCTTAACCGGTTAATCGATTAATTGGTTAGAAAATCCGTAATCGGTTAGTTGGAAAAAATATAAAAATATATGTAAATTTGAACATATTTTCTTAAAATTCACTTTTCAGACAGGAAACCACTGCTTTAAGTCCATTTAGTGTTTTTACATATCTTGTAATTAAATAATTTGGAAGTATTTACAGTTCTCCTGATTAATATCACGGGGTCAGTTTGTAAAGTGTTAACTGCTGTTTTTTAAAACATCACGGCATTACCCCGACTGCCCTGCCTGTAATTTTTTAATGTTAGTAAACACATTACCATTCAGCACTTTAAATTAGTATGTCTATATTTTGCCGTTATCTATTAAATTATGTTATATTAGGAAAAAACAGTGTTAATAAAGTGAGAGTTCAGACAGAGTTTTGATTATGGTGACAATGCAGAATTAACTTCTTTTACGTCTGCGTTGGAAATTTATCCGTGTCTGATTCTCAGGCAAGATTCATGTTTTTTTTTTCTTGTATATTGAAATTAAAATAAAATATACTCTTATGCACATAAAATATCCTGATCAAGATAATTAACAGAATGAAAATTATAAGGTCTTTTATAGCCTTCTTGTGTATATAATGAAGAAATGTCAAAATGAACATCTAGATACGAGTAACCGGTTAATCGGTCGGAACGTCTTGAAGTTAACCAATTAGCAATTTGCCATCCCTAATACATGTAATAATAACTATTGTTAAGCCGTAACAAACTTTGCCCAGTCCAACACGTACATTCTAAAAAGTCTCCCCACACGGAAAGAAAAGCTTGTTGCAGCACAGCATTAATGGCTTTTATTTCTATAAACAAATTTACCTCACTCTTTGTAGCAACGAAAGGAAAATGTAAAAGTAAATTAGAAGAAACACATTTTGTCATTTAAATGGTGAGCTGATTGTCATACCACAAAGAAGCTGCCAAGTCTTAGTCTAGCTCTCTCCATCTCTCTCAATTCCATCAAGGTGTTCATTAGTTATTGACTGTCTAAAGAGACGACCAAAGCTGCGATGGGCGATAATTAGAGCTTTGGCAGAGATGAGATTACTAAATGAGAAATTTTTGCCTGTATTTCCATGTTGCAGGTTTTTCATGGATCTAATTACGGCTAAATTAACACACATAAACAGCTGATCCAGAAGGTTTTAAGTAATGCCCATCATGCAGTGTGAAAAAAAGGCGTTACTTGATTTGATGTGATGTGTTACTTGGTAACAGAATTAAATAACACAAAAAAATTTATGTTTATCTAAAAGCAGACAAAATCTTCTACATATCATGGTGTCAAATTTATTTTCTTCATGTTTAAAGATATGTGAATTATATATTATGATTTAAATATCAAAGCCCATTGGAAGCAAATGGCTTTAAAATTATGGAGAGCTTATTTTTATTTGAATCATGACTTTTAGAATTTGTTTCCCATTTTATGCAGCCAGGGAAACATTTTCTCCTTCTTCTGTCCATGTATAAACTTATTTTTTAAAACATCATTATCAAGTTTTGATTCTATAAATGCTTGAAGTTATTGTGTTATGCTGGTATTGTGTTATTCTGTACTGTGTTCTTCTGACATTCTGGTACAGTACTGTGTTATTCTGACATTCTGTTACTGTGTTATGCTGGTATTGTGTCATTCTGGTATTTTGACATTCTGGTATTGTGTTATTCTGTTACTGTGTTATTCTGGTATTGTGTTATTCTAGTATTGTGTTATTCTGGTATTGTGTTATTGTGACATTCTGGTACTGTGTTATTCTGCTATTATGTTATGCCGGTATTGTGTTATGCTGGTACTGTGTTATTCTGGAATTGTGTTACTCTGGTATTGTGTTATTGTGACATTCTGGTACTGTGTTATTCTGGAATTGTGTTATTCTGGTATTGTGTTATTCTGGAATTGTGTTATTCTGGAATTGTGTTATTCTGTTATTGTGTTATGCTGGTATTGTGTTATGCTGGTATTGTGTTATTCTAGTATTGTGTTATTCTGGTATTGTGTTATTCTGGTATTGTGTTATTCTGGTATTGTGTTATTCTGGTATTGTGTTATTCTGGTATTGTGTTATTCTGGTATTCTGGTATTGTGTTATTCTGGTACTGTGTTATTCTGGTATTGTGTTATTCTAGTATTGTGTTATTCTGGTATTGTGTTATTCTGTTATTCTGGTATTGTGTTATTCTGTTATTGTGTTATTCTGGTATTGTGTTATTCTGTTCTGGTATTGTGTTATTCTGGTTTTGTGTCATTCTGGTATTGTGTTATTCTGGTATTGTGTTATGCTGTTATTGTGTTATTCTGGTATTGTGTTATTCTGTTATTGTGTTATTCTGGTATTGTGTTATTCTAGTATTGTGTTTTTCTGGTATTATGATATTCTGGTATTGTGTTTTGCTGTTATTGTGTTTTGCTGTTACTGTGTTATGCTGGTATTGTGTTATGCTGGTATTGTGTTATGCTGGTATTGTGTTATGCTGGTATTGTGTTATTCTGATATTCTGGTACTGTGTTATTCTGACATTCTGTTACTGTGTTATGCTGGTATTGTGTTATGCTGGTATTGTGTTATTCTAGTATTATTAGTTACATAGTCTTTTATGCTGGCATACCTGTGTTATTGTGTTATGCTAAAAGGGTATTGATGTAGCATTTACGTTTTATCTGTAGTATAAATGGTTTTCTCTGCTAAATGCTTCATCACGCTTTTACTGTGTTATTATGACGTCACGTTTGTGTTTGTTATGTATTGTGTTATTCTAGTAATTGTGTTATGCTGGTATTTTGTATTCTGGTATTGTGTTATTCTGGTATTGTGTTATTCTGGTATTGTGTTATTCTGGTATTGTGTTATTCTGTTGTGTTATTCTGTTAGTGTGTTATTCTGTTATTGTGTTATGCTGGTATTGTGTTATTCTAGTATTGTGTTATGCTGGTATTGTGTTATTCTAGTATTGTGTTATGCTGGTATTGGGTTATTCTGGTATTGTGTCATTCTGGTATTGTGTTATTCTGGTATTGTAAAAATTTCAAGACTTGAATCTGATCTCAAAATCAAAAGGCCAACAAGTTGTTTGTAATCATTTATATCCATGCCTTTAAAAAAAGAATATCTTTTTGTATACATCTCCCCCCCCCCTTCTCTCTCTCCTTCTCTCAAAAATTACAGAAAATATATCTGTGCTAATTAAATTATGTATCAATTATAGTGAATTACACAAGAAAATTAAATGATTGTCCCTCTCTGCACCTCTGGTGAATAGGCAAGTAGGAGAATCTTAATCCATTTATTTTGTTTATGAAATATAACATACATGTCTTATACATGAGAGCTATTAAACTTGTTTTAAAGTTGCATAGAAATCAGATAAAAATTCTTTAGAAAACCCCTTGAAAAATTTCCAAAAAAAAGATAAACGGTGAAATCCGTCTAATCCAACATGCACTGGGAGAGGAATTCTCTGTCAGAATACACAGGGTGACGGATTGTACAGTGTTAAACACATGAAAAATAGAAAAAAGGGAAAAAAATTTATAACGTCAGAATTCACAGTGTGATGGATTTTACAGTGTTAAACACATGAAAAATAGAAAAAAGGGAGAGAAATTTAACGTCAGAATTCACAGTGTGATGGATTGTACAGGTGCCTGATTAGGTAACTTTCACTGTACATGAAAAACTAACATCAGAAATCAGAAACATCAGCCGAAGAAAGTAGTCATTCATCAAAGAGGTTACACGATAAATATTTCGATTTCAGGCAATTCTTTTCAAATGTGTGGGATATTCTGACAATTTTAATGCATATTCACACCTGATCCCAATGGTTTAACGTGACATATCTGTTTATATAAATTAGTCAAACTCAGGTGTCTTGTGCCTACTGAATTTTAATTTACCTGAAAAACATATACAGCTGACGTTTCCATTATTTCCATTCCTTTTCCAAACTCAATCAATGACGCAAATACATCAAAGCAAAATATATAGAACTCTTAGAAAATCTTGCTAAAGAATTTTCTGTCTGGCCTTTAGCCTTTGAAAGATGTACCAATTGTGACCTATACCATTTGTAAAATGTACTAACGATGCCCTTTGGAAGACTTACCAATGGTGGTCTTAAATGGAACATTTGGGTCAGTGGTGTTGATTTTCAATGTCAGACGGCCATTTTCTTCATCTCTCCTGCAAAATGATAATAAAAATTCTTAATTATTAACCATCTTAATCATAAATTTACTAAATAATATAATACAAAAGAAATTATTTATTTTCTAGAAATGATGTCTCGGGAAACTCGGTCATTTTATTTCTTAATTAGAATATTATGATAAACCATGATCACAATTCTTATTCTGCCTACACAAGAATGACTTGAAATCTACACAAACTCAGAATGTGTTCAGTTCACATAACTTTCATAGTTTCTGGTCCAGTGGATATTGAGAATATTTTTCTTTTATATTTCTTGTAAAACTTTGATTCCAATTTTACCTCAATCCACCCACAGGGGCATAGTTCACGAAGCTTATAGCTAAATTTCATCTTTTCTTAACAACAACTTCCCATAGATCCATTCATTTTCTAAGAAATTTTATAGGTAAACAATTAAATGACCCTTACATTTGCACCCTTCCCCTAAGCCCCCCCCCCCCACCACCACCACCACCAATCCCAGACAAAGGACATACTCAGCCTTGATGATTTTGGTGTTGATTTGCACCCCCCCCCCAACTCCCTACCCCTCACAAATCCCAGACAAATGACCTACTCAGCTTTGATGATTTTGATGTTGGCCTGCTCCTCTTCTAATGCTTCATTGATCATCTTCAGAATTGTCTCAGCCTGCTCTCCATTTAATCTGGAAACAAAACAAAAATAAGGTACTACTTCTTAATTATGGTAATAATCTGATTAATCCACAAAATCAGAATTTATTTTGGAGATAACATACTAGGTATTCATAGAGTACATAGACCGCACAGCTCCCCTCAACAAATATATTAAACAAAGGCAAATACTAAACAAATATTCTGGGACATGTAGTGAGTATCTCTTGATGTAAGATTTATAAAAGTTTATCGGAGTGTGTAGGATAATTTAGTTACTTGGGTATGAACAGAGATCATTTAAATCTTTTTTTGCTGTCAAATCATCTAGATAAAGTAAGATTTTGAACACCATAGAAGGTTTACAAATTCTTGACGTTTTAGAAATGTTCCATTTGCATCATTTGCAAAAATATACACCAATCCAGACATCAATTCTTTTGTTTGTATCGTATGTCCTTAAGAAATTCTTTATCATTTGGGTTAGATCCAGTTTCTAAAGATGATTAAAAACTGCTTTATAATCAAGGCCCAAATGTATTTTAATTTCAAAACACAATAATGCTTCATAGGTACAAAAAGTCTGGATCTAAGTCGAGTTCTTTCTATATATACTGAGTACAGAAACCTTTGTCTGAGAGAAAAAAAATTTAATCATGTCCTTAGCATCAATTATTAGACCTGCTCAAGAATCACTTCAAGGAAATCACCTGAAACCTTTTGCGATAGTACCAAGCCTAGAAATAATTAATTTGGATAGTGTAGTTCTAAGAAGACAATTTTGTGACAAATTAATGTTTTCATTCCAGTCGATCGGGTAGATAGATGATTAAACCATTTCTGTCTGTGAGCACCTTACCTGAGTTTTTTTATTTCTTTTATTTAATTTTATTAGTTTTAAATTTCCTCCAAGTTAATCTCTCCAGATTATGTTAATTATGTGTTCTTTGTGAACTTATTTCAGCCTACTTACATTTAACAAAAAAATTAAAGCAAATTAAACTAGTTGAGAGACTACTTGTTGCAATATAAATGAGAGCACTCAAAGTCTATGCTTTATATAACAATAGGCCCATAGGCCTTAAAGCTCACCAAGCTGAGCATCACCGGTTTCTTGGCTCTGACCTACTCAGCTCTTCTTTACACTGCAACTCTGGCAAATCTGATTTTTACATATCTGATTTTTGTGCGTCATTACACTTATTTCTAAATTAATATAAACAATGCCTTGTTGATCTAGTGAAGAGCACTTTTGTTTTTAAAAAAATCTTATATATTCCTGTGTGAATTTTTCTTCACCCATATTGGCCCAAGCTGTTGTCAAGAGCTATTTGTAACAAAATAATACAAATCCTATATATTCCTGTGTGAATTTTTCTTCACCCATATTGGCCCAAGCTGTTGTCAAGAGCTATTTGTAACAAAATAATACAAATCCAGACTATTTCATGAAAGTTTCATCTTTTCTGAGCCAGTACATTGGTTCATGAGAAGACTTTTTAATAACTCCGTCCCGTTTTTGCTCTTGATTATCTCAACTTGGAGGAAGGGACATGACCTCTCCTTTGAAAGGTTTTAAATCTCCTTTCTCAAGGATGCTCTGTGTTAAAATTTGCTGACAATGGCTTAAAGATAAAGACAAAGTTTACAGACTGACAATGAACCAGATTGTGAAATGAGATTGTCAAATTCCAGACAAAAAGAGATCAGGAAAAGCTAACTTAAGCTTTATAAAAATCAAGGTCACATTATGGACCTGTAAAATTTTAAATGCTCTCAATAAGACATACTTTAAGTAATTTTATTTTCATGGTGTTAAAATTTCAAGTACCAATTGCAATGATTTTAATTTCACGCTGCAAGAAATTTATTCAAAATTTCGAATAAGCATTTAAAAACTAATAGCATCCACGGTGGGTTTACTTTGGCGGGCAAATGATAAATCGCGAACATAGTAAAATCATGATTATTTGCCAATCTCCTGTATTCTATACAGGAAGCTGTTACTTACTTGCCACCCATCTGTATCCAGTATATGTCTGTCTATATGGGTTTCTTTGTGTTCTGTGTACACTGTATCCAGTACACGTTTGTCTGTATGGGTTTCTTTGTGTTCTGTGTTACTTACTTGTCACTCATCTGTATCCAGTATATGTCTGTCTATATGGGTTTCTTTGTGTTCTGTGTTACTTACTTGCCACCCATCTGTATCCAGTATACGTCTGTCTGTATGGGTTCCTTTGTGTTCTGTGTTACTTACTTGTCACTCATCTGTATCCAGTATACGTCTGTCTGTACGGGTTTCTTTGTGTTCTGTGTTACTTACTTGCCACCCATCTGTATCCAGTATATGTCTGTCTGTATGGGTTTCTTTGTGTTCTGTGTTACTTGTTTGCCACCCATCTGTATCCAGTATATGTCTGTCTGTATGGGTTTCTTTGTGTTCTGTGTTACTTACTTGTCACCCATCTGTATCCAGTACACGTCAGTCTGTATGGGTTTCTTTGTGTTCTGTGTTACTTACTTGTCACTCATCTGTATCCAGTACACGTCTGTCTGTGTGGGTTTCTTTGTGTTCTGTGTTACTTACTTGTCACCCATCTGTATCCAGTATATGTCTGTCTGTATGGGTTTCTTTGTGTTCTGTGTTACTTACTTGTCATCCATCTGTATCCAGTAGACGTCTGTCTGTATGGGTTTCTTTGTGTTCTGTGTTACTTACTTGCCACCCATCTGTATCCAGTACACGTCTGTCTGTATGGGTTTCTTTGTGTTCTGTGTTACTTGCTTGTCACCCATCTGTATCCAGTACATGTCTGTCTGTATCCAGTACACGTCTGTCTGTGTGGGTTTCTTTGTGTTCTGTGTTACTTGCCATCCATCTGTATCCAGTACACGTCAGTCTGTATGGGTTTCTTTGTGTTCTGTGTTACTTACTTGCCATCCATCTGTATCCAGTACACGTCTGTCTGTATCCAGTATATGTCTGTCTGTGTGGGTTTCTTTGTGTTCTGTGTTACTTGCCATCCATCTGTATCCAGTAGACGTCTGTCTGTATGGGTTTCTTTGTGTTCTGTGTTACTTACTTGTCACCCATCTGTATCCAGTACACGTCTGTCTGTATGGGTTTCTTTGTGTTCTGTGTTACTTACTTGCCATCCATCTGTATCCAGTACACGTCAGTCTGTATGGGTTTCTTTGTGTTCTGTGTTACTTACTTGCCATCCATCTGTATCCAGTACACGTCAGTCTGTATGGGTTTCTTTGTGTTCTGTGTTACTTACTTGTCACCCATCTGTATCCAGTATACGTCTGTCTGTATGGGTTTCTTTGTGTTCTGTGTTACTTACTTGTCACTCATCTGTATCCAGTACACGTCAGTCTGTACGGTTTTCTTTGTGTTCTGTGTTACTTACTTGTCATCCATCTGTATCCAGTACACGTCAGTCTGTATGGGTTTCTTTGTGTTCTGTGTTACTTGCCATCCATCTGTATCCAGTAGACGTCTGTCTGTATGGGTTTCTTTGTGTTCTGTGTTACTTACTTGTCACCCATCTGTATCCAGTACACGTCTGTCTGTATGGGTTTCTTTGTGTTCTGTGTTACTTACTTGCCATCCATCTGTATCCAGTATATGTCTGTCTGTATGGGTTTCTTTGTGTTCTGTGTTACTTACTTGCCACCCATCTGTATCCAGTATATGTCTGTCTGTGTGGGTTTCTTTGTGTTCTGTGTTACTTACTTGCCACCCATCTGTATCCAGTATACGTCAGTCCATGTTATCTGTATCCAGTACACATTTGTCTGTATGGGTTTCTTTGTGTTCTGTGTTACTTACTTGTCATCCATCTGTATCCAGTATACGTCTGTCTGTATGGGTTTCTCTGTGTTCTGTGTTACTTACTTGTCATCCATCTGTATCCAGTATACGTCTGTCTGTATGGGTTTCTTTGTGTTCTGTGTTACTTACTTGTCACCCATCTGTATCCAGTACACGTCTGTCTGTATGGGTTTCTTTGTGTTCTGTATTACTTACTTTTCACCCATCTGTATCCAGTATAGGTCTGTCTGTATGGGTTTCTTTGTGTTCTGTGTTACTTACTTTCACCCATCTGTATCCAGTATACGTCGGTCTGTATGGGTTCCTTTGTGTTCTGTGTTACTTACTTGTCATCCATCTGTATCCAGTACACGTCTGTCTGTATGGGTTCCTTTGTGTTCTGTGTTACTTACTTGCCACCCATCTGTATCCAGTATAGGTCTGTCTGTATGGGTTCCTTTGTGTTCTGTGTTACTTACTTGCCACCCATCTGTATCCAGTAGATGTCTGTCTGTATGGGTTTCTTGGTGTTCTGGGTGGTGCTGGTGGTGCCAGTGGTGCTGGTGGTGCTAGTGGCGCCCATCCTGGTCACCAGTCCCATCATCGTCTCCACATTCTTCTTTTCTGAAGTTCATTCAGAAATATATTCTAAGTTTAGAACTTTGTCAATAGTAAGGGGCCCATAGGCCACAATGCTCACATTATCTCCTCCTGAAAACATTAAGGCCATAATAAAAAAATTCCTAGATTCTCATCTAAATTTTTTGAAAAATCAAGGCGGGCGGGCGGCTTTTATTTCATATTTTTTTCTTTTTTACCATTTTGCAGATTTTTTTATTGCCCTGGTCAATCGGTGTAGATTTATCTATAATACCCGAATAAAAGTCATAGTAGAGGTCCATTTATCTCTTACTTCACATCATCACCAATCTTTCACAACCAATGACCCTTGTTTAATATATATAACAGCACTTACCATCTTTTCAGCTGTCAATATCAAGCCGACATTTGTAGGATTTAAAACGAAAATTGAATGGTAATTGATTACAGATCCCGATTAGAATTCAGATGAAGAAAACATAAATAAAAAAATCGAGGCGGGGTAAACAAAAATTGGGGCAGGTGGGGATGAAAATCTAGGAATGTTTTTATTATGGCCTTATACATAGATAAATAAATCACTCTTTTTGTGGAAATTAAACCTTGGTACATCTATTAACTTTTGGGACTGTGCATAATTCACAGGTAGACAGACAGCTAGACAGACAGACAGATAGACGAAAAACTGTATCACCCGGAATCTTTGATTGTGGGGTTTAAGAATTTCAATTATGTAGAGATAGAATATAGGTACATGTACTGAAAAGCAATTTTAGCAACGCAAACTATGAAGAACTATGAAGATAGAAAAATCTACAATAAAAATCAAGGAAAGATGAAATTTTAAACCCATTGATTAATCCCACCCTTGCTTGAAGCAATAAGTGTGGTAGCCAAGTCATCAATGGTTAGATTAAAATAATTAGAAAGGTTCCACCTGTACTCTCGGAAAACTGGATCTATTGTAATAAATCAAGAGAAATAAATGTAAGCTGATCCCCCCATATCTTGGATTTTCGTGACTGTTTTCAGTTGAATGGAATTAATTTTTTGAAAGCAAGATATATCATTGACACTGTATATACTCGCCTATAAGTCAGTCCGCATATAAGTTGGTTGTATTGTTTAACCAAATAGTAGAGGGACTGATACTATTACATACATTCTTTTTACAACTTGCCTATAAGTCAGGCAAACAGATTTGGCCCAAGATTAACTTAAAAAAAAATGACTTATGGGCGAGTATATACGGAAATTGGGAGAGTTGATGTTTCTGAAAAATTCTAAACACTTGAGATCTATGAACAGAAACTTTTAGAGACAATGGTTCCAATTTGTCATTAATAATTGTTTTACTTATTTTATGAATAAGAATTAGTTTATTATTATTTTTACCTGAATAATTTTTATCCTGTGTTAAGTTATAGCACATCTGTTATAAATTATGAAAAAAAATTTTGCTTAGTGCAACAAAATGTGAATGGTCATTGTGATTTTTGGAATATTCTGCTTATTTATTTTATGAGTTTTAAATATCAATTAATGTCCTGAAGAACAGAGAGCAAGCTCCTGAAAAATAAGTGAAAAACAATATAATTCCTATTGCAACTTGATAAAAAAAATCCTGAATCTGATAGTAGGATGGGCCAAGGGTTTGTGACGAGAGTACAGGATCGGTAGCCCTTGTCTATAAATGAAGATGAGAACTAACTATAAATGAAATTGAATTTGTGTACCAGTTCCTTTAATCTGCATTATAAACTTAGAAAGAAAACACGCCAAAGAGTGACAGTAATTATCAGCTTTGTAAAAAAAAAATGTAAAAGTACGATTCTCTGCACAAGCTACCAGTATAAAGCAATTTCCTTCCAAATCAATTTTCACAAAAAATTGCTAAGAAGTGAAATTCATCATAAGCTTGCTGCTGGAGACATTTTTTTTGTCCCTTGAAAAAAAATAAATAGGAACCACGACATAACTGTTTAAGAGAAGCTCATCTCAGCATAGTAAATGAATGCAAAAAAACAAAAAGAAATACTGCCTTGCGACAAAAAGGCTTGTTTTCAGGAAAATTGAAAAAATTGTTTGAATCAATATCTTCTTTTGATACCTTTAGTATCTTCCTCTTCTGTCCCATCGGTCTCCAAGCTTCCATTTTCTTCCTTGGTATCATCCATCTTCCTATTTATATCTTCATTTCCTCCGTCCATCTCATGATCCTCTGCAAGCAATGTATACAAGCATATATTAGATATATATAACAGAGTCAGAAACACAGTCATCAATTACCCTGATTTGAATAAACTTGAAACTAACTACCTGAAGATGTTAAGACTATAAAAACAGGACTCCTCATGAAGAAGATTTTTAAAGATATTTTTTCCTACATATATTCCTGTCTGAACTTTTGTTTTTGAAATGATACAAATATTTTAGTTTTTCAAACTTTTTCTTGAAATAACATATGCTGGTAAAATAACAGTCACTTGCATATACAGTGTACACATTTTTGCATTTTCTGGGTGTGTTACTGTATCCACTGAATATTTTCTCCTTTATTTCTTAAGAAAACCATTGCCATTTATCAGTTCATGAACAAGACTATAGGCATATCACCTATACAGATTTCTTGATGAGTGGCTGTTCCATCAATGAAACGTACTAAGACGTACATACATGTATTAATAAGACAAAAATTAATCTTTTTTATCCTACTTTTAAATGATTATTTATACAGATATAAATGTGTATAAAATGTCTTTCTATGGTTGTTAGTATGGAAATAAACGCCAAAGCTATTGCAGAAAAAAATTACAATAACATATTTTTTCTGCAATAGCTGCGACATTAATTTCCATAATAACAACCAAAGAAAGAAGAATCCAACCTGGTCTTTGGTTCAGGTGTTTTTTTCAGTCAATCATTCTACCTGCTTATATAAACAGTAAAACAATGACCATCACTGATTAAAAAGAAAAAAATAACGAGAAGAGATCAAAGGGTTCACATTTTCCTTGAATTCAAACAAAGCAATCTATAAATATAGCTAGAAAGCAGATGGACACAGGTGGGGGATGGAATGCTTTTTGTCTACATCAAAGACATTCCTCATCTGATGGAAATTACAGTAACTGGTACAACTCTTAGACCTTCAAACAGTAAATCATGCACAGAGATGGACAATTCTGCTTCGTCATATAATTCGTTATATCTGTCAAGTTTACAATATATAATAAAGTCAAGGGGAATAAAAATCACTTGGCTGTAAGCCTAAATTCATAATAAGGCCAGGTAAAATTAATCTTTAGATTCTCATCCTAATTTGCTAAAAAATTGATTTTATTTTTTACTTTTTATAATTCTTAAATTGTAAGTATCAACAAAACATGGATTTCTTGTACACATATTTTTATTATGTTAATGCCAATATGAATACGGTAGATTTTTTTTTTCATATTCTTTTAAATATTAAAAAAAAATTCTTGCTTAAATTATTAGATATTTATTGTTAATTAACAAATTATCAAGTACACATATACGGCACCCGCAAAACAAAAATTAAATGAGGTGGGGTTCTGATACCAATAAATTTTGTATGCATGACTTCTAATCGGCCTTTTCCTTATTATACCCTTTAGTTTTACCTACAAATCCCTCTGTTTTCTGTAAAATATCTTATATTTCCACCTTCCTCAAAAATTGGATCGTTCTTGAGACTTGACATTTTCGACAATAAAATAGGTCATATTTACAAAATCTATGAAATATTCTAATAAAATATCCTACCGAAAAAACCTAGGCCTGAACAGTTTTAAGATTTAATATTTTCTTAGCACTAAGCATTCTCTAAAGTCTGCCTATGATGTTTTATTTTTTTTATCAAATCAAAATAACACACAGTAAATATTGGAGATCGTTAAAACTTGACCAGGTGTCATTTTCCATGTCCATTTTTATTATACTTTATAGTTTTAAAAAATCTTTAAAAAACTTGCTCATGCCAGTGATGGTATCTAGATGTGTTTATGCTATTATTATTTCTCTGCCTTCTCTATACTGACAAATAATCTTTTCCTTACATATTTAAACTGCTTTTATTGCCGATTTTTCTCCATTCTTCACATGGCTCTTTTGCTATAAATAGCGACACGCGACTTTTAATACAGACGGGAGATAACTCTTAAACTTAACCCAAATTCTTACTGAATAAAAATACATGAAAATGCCTTTATAAACACCCAAAAATAAAAAATAAAAAACGTTTTTGGTTTGAGAGGGGCGGGCGGGGATGAGAATCTAAAGATTAATTTTATCTGGCCTAAGAGGGTTCACTATAATCTTAAAATTGTTTTACTGTATACAGTAAAATCTCATTAACTGTAGCATAAGGGACCTAGAAGAAAAACTTTTAAATGATAATTATCGAAGCTAGGATTAAAAATTTTGAGGATTATACTAAATACTTTGGTTGGGGACTTCCAAAATGTCCATAGTATTTTAAGTTATCAAAGTTATCAATGTTCGAGTTACTACAATTCAACTGTATATTTAGGGGTGCATGACTATCCATTACTGGACAAAATCCTTATTTTTTACAGTTTATAGCTATTTATAATTCGTCTTTCGATTAATCTTTCAAATTAGGCCCTTTCAAAAAATTGTTTGCCCTCTTCCGACCGACCGACCGACATAAAACGCCCAGACTCATAACTTTTTCAACCTCGCCATAAAACAATTTTTTTTATTCATTTAGAATTTTTCTCATCTCATAAAAATCTATTATAACATCATATTCAGAAGTTTTTTTGAATAAAAAAAATTTTCTACCTACCAACTCAATTTTATATTTTTTAAGATGCATGGCCTTAATTAATGATTTTGGTTCAGAAGTACTCAGTATACTTAATATATAATCTCCCAAGCTTCCATTGACTGCAGATTTGTGACCTGACCATCCCCGCCATGTGCTTTACGTTATACAATTGTATAAAAATATTTTATAGAAAAAAATTGGGTCAAGGCCAATGACGCCATCAAATGACGACATCCTGACCTAAATGTCAATTCAGTCTGTTCTATAACAAATATATCCATCATTCAGCAATAGTATAATCAAAGATTTTAAAAAATTGTCTGCCCAAAGTGTTTTCTCAAAATTAAAAATTAGATACCCGACTGCATTGTAAAGTATGTCTAGCAGCACTCTTATACATGTACATTATCTGCTAGTTTAGTTCAGGTATTCTGGGCTTTTCCACAACATTCATTTAGTTTAGTTCAGGTATTTAGGGATTTTCCACAACATTCATTTAGTTTAGTCATGATAACAAAGTTGCTATAGGGATTTTCGACACCATTCTGTTAGTTTAACGTTCAGGTATTTAGGGATTTTCCACAACATTCTCAGACTGTTTGTTTAGTTCAGGTATGGCAAATAAAGGGATTTTCCACAATATTTTGTTACAAGTTTAGTTCATGTATGGGAAATAAAGTTACCAGGGATTTTCCTAAATTTGAGATATCCGGAGATTTCAGATATCAAAGGTAAAATACTTAAAGAATAAGGGGTTGGGTTTCCAAATCACTTTGACATATCCATGGTACTAGGGCAGAGATTGGGAAGGGCTTGCGCCATAGTCGCAATAAAGCGAAAAATGGCGCTTTAAATCAATCAATGTTTGCACCAAGGTGTGCATTCAATTTTTATCTATCTTTTTTGGAATCATTTCATTATGCATTCAATTTTTATCGATCTTTTTTGGAATCAATTTAAGTACGACTTTCTTCCTCGTTTTACTTTCGTTTTAAATGCAGCCAATTTTAAAACAACAAATCTCATTGGTGGAAGCCTTTCAAAAACTGCTTTCGGTATAACGAAGCATCTAGATTAGGTACATTACTACATTCCTTTGTAGGGTAGGATATGGTGCTCAATCCAAATTTTGACGTAGTTTAGTGCAATATACCATTTTCAAAATGGCCCATTAAAAATGTTGACAGTTGCGCCATAGTCCCAATGACCTTTTCGGCCTTCCCAATCACTGCTAGGGATATCAGCTTTCCAGATATCAAAGAGTACAACAGTACATCTAAACTATCGATGTAATCAAAGTCATCAGGAGGAATCAATTAAAGAGAATATTTTTCTTTAAATATATATCATTTGTCCAAAATCTAGATGTAATACCAACCAGCCCAATTCCCCATTTGGTCCTCAGATCCAATAAGGCCTTCTCCCATTGGTCTGGATTTTGACCAATCATCATCACTGTTACTTAAGTGAAGATCATTTGTTGCTTTGTTTTTGCTGTCTGGGGGTAGTCTTTCATTGATATAGTTTATCAGATCTGTGATTTCTTCATCAGAGAGAGCACTGGTTGAAATCTCACCTATAAAAAACAAGAGACACATGCACAGCAATGAAGAAATCCTTGAACACTTTCAATGCAAGAAAAGACTATGATTTTTTACTTTTTTTACATTGAACCATTTCAATGCATGAATATGGATCAATGCCTTATCAATTAAAAAATGCAAAATGATAAGTATATTTACCTGATTTCAATTTATTCAGAATTTCTTCTTTTTCTGCATCAAAAGGATAAACTGCTTGGTCATCTGCAAAGATATCTTTATAGTCCAAAGACTCTCATCAAAGACAATTCAAAGATTCTAATTTCAATGTAAAACACAAAATGTGTAACTTTAAATTGAGGTCATGCATTTCTAATTTGTTGTTTTGATATTTTACCTTGACTTGCTGAGGTCCACTGTGAGGAGGCTCCCTGAGGCAGGTGCTCTTTCTCCACCCACTCCCCTCCATTATTATCGTACCCTTGCTCTTTTCTCTGTACATCTGGTACATAATAATCCCCATATAATCCCTTCCCTCCATCTTCACTATTTCTAATGGACTCTAAATAATACTGCAGCGCCTGGATATCTTTTAAGCTTATGTTGTCAGCACCAAGAAATTTTAAGTCCTCGAGGAGGTTCACTTTGTCCTCGTAACTATAGTTATCAGAGAATCCCTTCTCCTCCCCTGGCTCCTTCTCGAAATATTTATGGACGTGAATGACGTCATCATCTCGCTTCTCTTCCGGAGGAATCGCAGATGGCTTGTAGGAGTCGTAGTAGTCCTGAAAGATCTGCTCGAGGTACCTGCCCATCTCACCACTAACCCTGTCCTCATTCGAGGCGAGCTTGCACACGTAACGCTTGAAGGGCACCTGCCTACGGCTGGCCAGGAGGGCGTTTTGGAGGACACACTGGGTGTAGGGGTCCCTCCAGGTGTAGCCCGAGGTGATCAGGTGGAGGATGTGCTCCTCCAGGGCAGACAGCGCCTCCTCATTGAGGCGATACTGATGGAGGTCCTGGCTCCTGTCCAATCTCTGGCAGTTACCAAACAGCAGATCTGTCATACAGAAATAGAAATTTTGTCAGTGAATTTAAAATGATACAGAAATTGATCTGTAAAGCATTTTACTACACACTGTGTAAAGTGATGACCTCACAGTGGTACTAGATTCAATTCACAAAACACTTTGTGGATTCACATCCTACATTATTGAGCAAGTTTTCTTCACATGTTATTAAATATTAAGTTTAATCTGTTAAAACAAAGATATCCACAGTCATAATGAAAGAAGGTGCTATACAGGTTCATTTTATCCATGACAGGGCCTTGCATATATATCAATGTAAAACAGACAAAGTCCCAATGTTACATTTTAAACATCAACATGAAGAAGAGTTATAGTGCTTTCTTTTTAATGTTGCATATAAACCAATGGGTGTGCAACATTTCTATGAAAGGGAAAACAAAGTTTTATATATGACTCTTAGGAATACATTTGAATAAATTGACATATATTAATGTCCAGCTACACTGAATCATAGTAAGCTGTTCCTGTGTGATAGCATTGGAAGACTGAATTTAAGTTAAACTAGAGCAAAGCTCATTGCAAAGCAACGAGTAGGTCTTCCGTCATGTTTGACCGGAAGTGGCTTTCATTTTTAGCAAAAATGAGAAATAACGTCCAAAAATGGTTTGATTCCTCTAAATTCATGTTAATTTTTAAGCCATTTTCTGTCAACGGAATAAACGGGAAATTAATTTTCAAGGTCCCAGAGGCATATGTTACCAAAAAACTTGTCAAGAACGGCAAAAATCGTTTTTTTACTTCCGGAAGTTTGCGGAATATATTTTGACGACTTTAATCAATTAAGCTTGACATTCTGAACAACTTTGCTTCTTTGACGTATCACAAATTATCAAGACTTTTTGAGATATAAAGGAAAATTTCAATTTAAGGGGCCAACCCTATTTTCGAGATGTCATTTGAAAGATCTTGAAATTATACACCTTTTTTGTTCTACATGCTTTAACAAAATATTTCTAGGTAAAAAGTTATGAAAATAAAATGAAATTCTTGATAGGACTATTTTCGGGCCATAGCAAGCGTCGGCGCTTCGTACTTCTGGTAGTTGTGATATACTTAGTGCACTTCTCCAAAGGTTGCTCTAAGCATATAGCTTCTGTGTGAAGTGCTTTTTGAAAACTGCCGGACAAAGTGACCCTCTAAAAATCACTAAATCGCAGAAAACTCCGAACCGGAAGTGACGTCATCAAAATAAAAAAAAATATATCTAGATTTTTTAGTAAGCTGAAAGTTTCATTCCTGTGTGTACAAAATCGGTAAGAAAAAAAAACAATAATAATAAAATTAAATAGTGGAAAAGAAACCTAAGAAAAACAATAAGGTCTTCCGCTGAAGACAGAAGACCTTAACTAGCTAGCTCCTACAGAATATCCTTGATCCTTTGTTTCAGTTTAAGCTATTCTAAAATCAAATTTTTAAACAATATAGATAATACAAAATGATAATAATGTAACTTAAATTTTAGGAAAACCCTCCATTCTTTAAGCTAACATCATGAACATACAGCAAAACTCGTTTAGTACGAACATGGATATAGCGAATTTATGGATATAGCAAAGTTATTTTACATCCCCAGCTATATAAATTTAACGAATTCCTTATACGGATATAACAAATAACGGATATAGCGAAGTAATTTTATTGGTCCCTGTGACTTCGTTATAACCGAATTTTACTGTATACTGTAACCCAACTTTCGAAAAGTTTTGCTGCCTTCTTTTACTCAAAAAATTTCTTCCTACCAACTCAAAGTATTAAATTTTTGTATTTCTGTATAAAATCTTTCATCTGTTACCATGGTTACAAGAAGTAGTAGTCATGGACAGATTTCAAACTGATCTATGGCCAAAAAATGTGTCTTTAAATATACTGTAAAATCACATTATTTTCATGGGGGCAAATTTTCATGGTTTGAGGAAAAACTCATGGTTCAGATGGGATTTAATTTTGTGGAAAAAGAATTGTTGAGTAGTTTTGTATGTTACGTTTTACATTTCATGGTGGACATGAATTCACGAGTGTCTTCATACCTTAATAAACAACAAAAATTAAACAACCCTCCAACCTTAGCCCCCACAAAAATTAGTGATTTCAGAGTCGTAACTGTTCTTGTACAGAATTCTCTCTGAGTGAATTCTTGGCAACAGTTATGGATCACCTTCATCACTCCTATTATCAACTTAGTGTAATCTGATAGGAACAGAAGCTTTGTTAATTCAGATCTATACTACGTATAGTGTTCTTAATATCCAAAAGTCCCAAAAATTATCCATCGCTAAAATCTCATTTCCTAGGTTTCCAATTAACAGGACTGTAGAAAAAACCCTCATGAAACTAGAAATCAGATATACTCTTTGCCAATTAGCATTCATCTTTCAGCCCTCTTAAGATACAAAGTCTGGCTTCTGCAAATTATTCAATTTCAATTTTCTTTCTCGAGATCAAGACAGGTCCACGGTAGAAGACAGTGTCATAACATTTTTCCAATGTTTAAAAATGGAAATCTCTTATTGATTTTGGGATTTGAGAGAAATAATTTGATGGAGTGAAATCCGGGTGATGGAAGTGCTTGTAAGCTTGGGGCATTTGTGCTACTTCCTGAAGGTTTCTGAAGCTTTGCTAATGTCGGGCAAATCTTTGACATCAGAGGATTAAAGATGAAAGACTAAAACCTCCAATTTCCAGTTCTAGAATGTTTTGTCTTAGTGAACTCAAGAGAGTTTTGCATATATGATATATGAAAATTCAAAATATGAAAAACTCGATCTCAAATTAAAAATAGAGTACAATTTAGTTATTATAAGACTAATCCTCTAAATAACTGATATCAATTTTATACATGGGTAACCTAGCTGGTTCTTCTAAAAAAAATTAAAAAGGCCATAATTCTATCAAAAAATCAATGAGGGCGAACAAAAAGCAAACTTGATCTATGACTCATTATAGATTTACATACAAAAAATCAGCTCAATATTAATTTAAACTGCAGGCATTTTTAGGGGAAAAGTACAGAAAATCTGGTTCCCTTAAGGCCCTTTCACAATTGGCGCACGAGCACTTTACAACACTTTGTGATCGGAAAATTTTAGCTTCGCACGAGGTCTCGCATACGTTGCGCGATGTCTCGCATTCATTGCATGTGTTTCAGTGGTCGCATCAAGTCTCTTCAAAATAGTCAACATGCACACTATTCAGACGCGACCAAATGCGATCCAAATTATCGCAATTCGACGCACGAAAGTTAGTGCGAACGTCTTACAACGTTTTATGTACTCGTAAGAGTGATGTACGATTTTTAAAGATCCTAAGATGAATCGCAGCTGTCTTTGCGTGTGTTTTGCGACCATGAGACTGTTATTCAACATGTCTCATGTAATCTTGCAACGTTTTACTATCATTGCTTGATTTATCACGTTCAATTGCCATTCTTTGCAACAGGTATATATACCATGTATAATTATAAGCATCTTAACTATATCAACTGAAGAGCCTCGGAAACGGGTGGTATATATACCCGGCCCTCTGACTCGCACGAACATTCATACTATGGAATGCATGAGCGCACGAGCACCACACGTCCAATCGTATTGTCGCACATTCAATCGTCCGATTACCTGATCGGTCGTGCAATCCTATCGCATTATCTTACAACACTCGCTTTCATTCTACAACAGTTGCAAATAGACGCAAGATATATCGCAAGAACTAATGCACAACAGTCGCTTTAAATCGTGCGCATTTCGTATGAACACTTTTTTCATATGCGATTATTTTGGCAACAATTTACGATCCTAGACAAAATTATTCGGTCGCACGAATATTTTGTCGCTTCTGCTCGTGCGCCAATTGTGAAAGGGCCTTTAAAAATTCAAAAGGACTTAATGCCATCAAATAAAAACATTCAGTGGAATGAAATACAAACTTGATCTGTATATAAACAGCAGGGAAAATTGCAGAAATGTAATAGGAACAGACAGACAGACAGACAGATGAGGAGGAGTCCTATGTAATGAATACAGGGAAATTTTTGCCCCCATTTTATTTTCACCTCTTTTGCCCTTATGTCGGTTGGCCAAATTTAAAACGGGGCGAATTCAAAGAATACAGTATAATTTCTTGAACAAAAGTGTGACTGTGCAAATTTAAGACAGAGAAAAATTGTTTGCAAGATTGAAAGGATGGAAATAAAGCAGGGCCAAAATAACCTGTATACAGTAGTTGTCCCCTCAGCTTTCAATGACAGAGAACTAGTCAAGCACATTTTTTTCCTTTAGATAACCTTGAAGAAGAAATATAGGCACATATATGAATGTAGAAAACATTACTAAATTATGCAAAGGGCAGAAAATTTTCCAGTAGAAGAATTCAATCACAGCTATCAGATATAGAAGATATAAAAATCAGTTCCAATTGTTTTCTTACTTGGAAATAATTAGATTTTAAAACGAGCACCTGATGCTTGCGAGCAGGTGTGAGAATCCATCGAGGGTTCCAAGAAAAGTAACTCTGGTGTGTTAACTAACAAAAGCAGTTATTGATTTTTTTATTATCCTTTATCACTCTTTATTCATGCTGTTGTGAAAGGTTCAGAATATTTTTGAATGAAAAATACACATAAAAAGTTTCAAGTGAAGCCTGCATGATTAAATTTAATGATTTAAATTATTTCACTGAACTGGGATTATATTTAGACACTAGGTATACAATTTCCAACATTTTGTAGCTCACCTAAGCCGAAGGCTCAAGTTGGCTTTTCTGATCAGAATTTGTCCGTTGTCTGTCCGAGTGTTGTAGTCGTTGTCATCGTCGTCGTAAACTTTTCACATTTTCATCTCCTTCTCAAGAACCACTGGGCCAATTACAACCAAACTTGCCACAAAGTATCATCAGGTGAAAGGGATTCAAGTTTGTTCAAATGAAGGGCCAAGCCCTCTTCCAAGGGGAGATAATTATGAATTAATGAAAAATTAATGGCATCTTTTAAAAATCTTCTTCTCCAGAACCATTGGGCCAGGAAAGATGAAACTCATGTGGAAGCATCCTCAGGTAGTGTAGATTTAATTTTGTTCAAACCATGACCCCTGGGGTAGGGCGGGGCCACAATGGCCAATCACAGGTTTACATAGGAATATATATGAAAAATCTTTAAAAAATTTTCTCAAGAACCACTGGGCCAGGAAAGATGAAACTCATATGGAAGCATCCTCAGGAAGTGTAGGTTCAAGTATGTTCAAACCATGACCCCCGGGGGTAGGGTGGGGCCACAATTGACTATCAAAGTTTTACATAGGAATGAATATATAGGAAAAATCTTTTAAAATCTTCTTCTCCAGAACCACTGTGCCAGTAAAGATGAAACTTATATGGAAGCATCCTCAGGTAGTGTAGATTCAATTTTGTTCAAATCATTATTGCCCTGGGGATAGGGTGGGGACACAACTGACGATCAAAGATTTACATAGGAATATATAGGAAAAATCTTTGAATCTTCTTCTCAAGAACCACTAGGCGAGGAAAGATGAAACTAAAGTATGTGAAAACATCCTCAGGTAGTGTACCAGTAGAATCAAGTTTGTTCAAATCATGACCCCCAGGGGTAGGGCGAGTCCACAATGGACGATTAAAGTTTTACATTTGAATGAATACATCGGAAAAATTTTTAAAACTCTAAAAAAAAGTTTTTTTAAGAACCACAAGGCCATGATTGGTCATATCTTGATGTAAGCATCCTCAGGTAGTGTTGATTCAAGTTTGTTCAAGTCATGATCGGGAAGTAGGGGCTGGGTGAGGGTGGGCCACAATTGGGGATTAAAGTTTTGCCTAGAAATATCAAGGAAATTTTCTTTCCCAAGAACAGAAAAGCCATGTTTAATTATATTGATATGGAGGCATCCTCAGGTAGTACAAAGTCATACTGTTTCAAATGAGGGCTCCCAGGGGTAGGGCTGGGCCACAATGGGAGGGGGGGGGGTCAAATGAATAAATAGGAAAAAAATCATCTGCTCAAAAACAGCAAAGGCATTTGTTGTATGGAAGCATCATCAGGTAGTTGGTAGTTTAAAATTTCAGACACCCCCCTCCCCCATGTAAACTTCTAAATACTGAAGTGATTTCTGCTTTTATTTCCTAGCCAATGTGCTCAGGTGAGCAATGTAGCCCATGGGCCTCTTGCTTATTTTCAATTTGCTAAAAAATTTAATTTAGCAGAGACATATAATGGTATGGCAAAATGGTTGCAAGCATTGCAAGCAAAATTTGTATAATGATTATGTATGTATTCTTTCAGCAATTACAGCTGCAGCATTCATGCCCATACTACCATACAATTTAAAAGACAATTATTTCCGTATTTTTTTCTGTATAATTCCAATCTTAATTTTATTTATTGATTCCATGTATTTTGATTGGACAAGAACAAATTCAAGATAAAGTTTACAAATTGAAAATTTCTTCATTCAGAACTATACTTTTTAAACCTTAGCTTTTAGGCTATATTGTAAAAAAAATTAATGAAACTGTATATGCACATTACTTCTAGTTATTCATAACACAATTATACTAAGGATACATTGCTATGACAAAAGAATTCACAATTTTTATGCAACGGTGACATTTTGCTATGTGCCTCAGTATGTAAAAAGGGAAATAACTTTTGATACAGATCAAGTTAATCGTTGAGACTGTAACAGTTATCTCCTGGTAAAAAGTGACATTATTTATAAATTTAGGTTGTCATTCCTATATATGGTTTAATTGCCACTCATAATGAGCCGAAAATATAAGCATTATATATGACAATTACATGTAACATTCCTATCCCAATAATATCAAAAAAAGATAAGTCCATCTTCTCTCTGATGCATGTGGCTGCGTGGAAATATTTACCGGTAATTGCAAGATTTCTAAATTATCGATGACTCATCAGTCTTACTTATAGGCTTTACCTGTTGAGATGGAACTGCAGGTTGTCTCTCTGAGAATTCATTAAATAGAATACCCAGTAATTTTTAATTCAGTTCCCGACACCAACCGTCAGATTCCAACAGTGCACCATGATCAGGCATTACTTTGTTATTCTGTTTGCAGACATAATTATACTTGCTGCATCAGGATCATTAAAACTTTTTGTTCCTTCTCATAAAACCCTGACAACAATAAAATTGCCATGGTAACCAATTTTGTATCAATAAACAGCAATGCACCATTTTTAATGATTTCCTCCTCCAAACACTAAATTCAAGACAAATTTTATCATATCGTCCAGGATCCAAGGGGAGAGAAACAAACTAGGACTGTAATGCCCTGTTCCCACGGAAAGTTTAATTCCCATGCAGTAAATTAGTGCACAATTAAAATAATGCAAATTGAATTAATGCGAATTAAATTGCGTTCACAGAACAGCTAATGCAAAGTATTTTTAAACTAGTGCAAATTAATTTTTTTTCTACAATAAGGTTATTCAGTAAGACTGCAGTCATTTGATGTCATTTGTGAATCATGTCACATTGTGCAAATTGAGAAGATGCATTTGATCACTGAATGGACATTAAATGTCATAGTGTCTGTACACAGTTTAGTGATTAACATAATTTTCTTTTGTTTTCCACTCAAAAATAGCAAATTACTAAGTACATATTCTGACCACCAATATGTGGCCTGTGACTTAATTCTGGCCTTACGCATTCCTCCAAATTTAATTGGAATTAAGTTCGCTTAGTGTTTACATGGAGCTGTATCAATGCTAAGTTATTAAATTCGCAGTAAATTAAATAATTTGTATCTAATTTCCATTAAATTCTCTGTATGAACACGCGGTTATAATTTAATTTGCAGAAACTTGCATTTAATTCGAATAAAATTCTCCTGACCATGTAAACAAGGCATAAAATTATGTAATTTAATTAATTTGAAACATAGGTCTTTGTTATATACATACTGACAGTTTAGAACAATTATGCAATTGTTATTGACAACCCACACTCTGAAACCTTAAGCAAAGCAAGTTCTACTGAAACAGAGATTTTTTCCAGTTATATCAGATCGAGACTTCCCATTTATGTAAAATTGACTATTAGTAATGAATATGTAATTTATTACGCATATTCATTGAAGTTATCACAACACGAATATCAATCAAACACGCATCAACCTGGTGGTTATATGTAGATCTGATTAGCTATTATATTTATCAAAATCTAGCAAATAAAGAGGTCCAAATTAAAAAAAAAATCATTATTTACTTTAAAAAGAGAAGGCAAGAGACCAATAATTATTAAGTGACAAATCTAATGATTCATTTAAACTATTCTTTTTAATAAAATACGAAATAAGACTTACCATCTATGCAGACCTCTTCTATCCCACATAACTGGTTTGTAAACAGGCAACCTGTCACAGATAATAAAAAAATATTAATGTATTTATTCATAATTATCTCAAAATAAAATGATATTAGGAGTTCCTAAAAGCAACAGCTGTACGTCTTTTTGGACCTGAATTCTAAATATTTAGAATTAAAACTATTTAAAGCAATATGAGCTCATTTTTTTGAAAATTTTATTTTGCTGTTAAAATGTGTTAAATATAAACGTTTATGATCAATTAGACTAAAATAAAGCCTATATAATAGGCCTTTAAAATTCACTATTTGTAATGATTTATAGGTACATGAAAATATCAAAAAAGATAATGACGTATGCATACTTTTGATTAAATCATTAAAAAATTTAATAATTCATAATTGACTTTTACGATCTTGTGTTTTAAGGACAAACAGTGTGTTAACTTGGTTTTATGAGTTATCGTTTATATGACATATAGGCTGAGCATTGGTATTGTTATGTACACTTTATATTTATTATTATCTGAAATAACAGGGTCAAAAATAAAGAGTTCTAAACTCTCTTTTTTTTAAAAAATTACATGTTTTTTTATTTACTATATACATATAAGAGAATGATTTGACAAAAGCAAACAATAGGCATATTTATAAAATAGAGTCATAATGCAACAATTAATACTGGAAAATTTCACCACTTTCCAATTACCAATAAGGTCACAAGAGCTTTCTGAAAATGAATGGTTGTAAACTATTCTTTTTAATAAAATCATTTCGCCCTAATGTCAAATTCCAACACGTAATTCTTCAAAATGCTGCCCTTTTCTCCATTTTTTTTTCCCAACAAAAGCCTGGGTATGCTCTCGCACCAATTTATCTTCATTTTTTACTCATATTTCAAAATACCCCCCATCTTTCCATATGATGTTGGATTTCAGTAGTAATGTAAACAGGCAACCTAACGCTTTCAATTTATCAAGGGGGACAACACTTAAAACAGAGCCTAAAAAATCAACGTCCATGAAGGTTCTATTTTTTTATTCATGGAAAAATTATCTATGTCAATAATAAACGCATTTAAGATAGAGCGATCCCGGGATTTTCACAAAACTTATGACTTGACCGAAATTTGACGTCATCTAACAACCTAAGATGAACAATAAATTATTAACTAATAAACAAAATATCCAGTAAAATCAGTAAAATACACACACAAAGGTTTATAAAAGATCAAGCAATCGTAATAATGACATAATTTTCGTTTTCTATAACACGAAGATCGGTTTAATTCTCATTTCAAGTATTAAGAATTGAAATGATATTAAACACGTTGATCTCTCCCCCGCATTTCCAAACATCCATTTCTATGGCAACTGCCATAGAGTTACTATCAAAAATATTTAAAATATTTTTTAATCTAAAATATTCAATAAGTGTCTTTATTCTCATTTGTAATTTTCAACCAATTTCACTTATAAATGAATGAAATATTAAGAAATTCCACGAACTTTTGGATCAACCCTCGTATACATTTACAAGTAACTACAACAATTGATCATCTTATTTGTGTTACTAAGCATGAAGGGGAACAACCGAGTATAAAAATTTAATCATGTTAGAACTAAGAAGGAGGGTAGATTTCACTTTTTATTTTAATTAAAAATTTTAATGATATGTAGTTAAACAATGTCCGCAACTATACAGTAAATAAGTTTAACATTGGTGTTAAATTTTAAAACCACTGCATTCTACTGAAAGCAAAGAAACACATGGAAAATGCTAAAAACTGACTTGTGTGTATACAGTTAGATACCTCGGACCTGCTCTAAACAAGTTTCTAAAATATCATAACAGCGAACCCTAGCGGCAGTTGAAAGGCCTATAAACAATCCAATATACAGTTTAATTTATATAGGAAATCAATTTTGCACATGACGACAATAATGTAATTTTGATTCAATCAAAGCTTATTAATAGTTCTTTCAATGCAAATATAAACAACAGAAGTTTATTAAACGATATTTTTTTCGTTAATTGAAATAGTTATTTACAATTTTGCAACAAAAAATTCCGACATCAAGGTTGCAGGTCATATTGCTTTAAAAAATCATCATTTAAAAACATATAAAGTCCTATAATAATTTGTAATATTACTCTCGGCATTATATGAGCAACCCACTTGACCACGGGTACCACAAGAATAATGTTACATGCATGTGACTGCATGTACAGTTTGTCATAGAATTCTCAAAATTTCTATTTGTGGATTTGAATGAAGCATAATAAACTTGAAGTCAATCAAAGCTGGCATCCCATATCAAGCTTGCTAGAAAGCAACAAATGACATCTGTAAATAGGGCATGCTCACTCCTCCATGGCACCTGATCCTACTTTAGTCAGTGTTCCTGATTAATATTGTTTGAATGGACTTTTGAGTTTGATTACAGTTTATCTTCATATTTCATAAATATTTGATACCTATTTCTTCAACCATAGGCAATACAATAAAACATGCATATAAAGTGAAGTTCCAAAGAACATTTCATGATTCATTATAGACTTAATTCATTTTACCCCTTCAGGAATGAAAATTACTTCACCAGGGGCATAAATACATCAGGCATGTTTATTAATTAAAATTGTATTTTATTGTATTTTAATTTATTTCCTCTTAACGATTGAATGCTTTCAAATACCACTTCCTCATTAATCTTATGATATAATACAAACTAAATGCCTCATACATACTGCTTTATATATTGCCTCCACATCCATAATGCCTCCACCATTCTGTTCTTTACCAGATTTCCCCCTTGTTATACATAATGCATCCCCACCCAACCCCACTGATCATAATTTAGACATTTTTAAAATACACAACCCCATGATCCTTCCATAGGCACAAATTTTTCATCTTTTTTGGCCCAGTGGTTCCTGAGAAGAAGATTTTCAAAGACTATATATTTCTATATAAAACATAAAAACAATTTAGAATACATATGCAAATTCACAAATCCACATCTGAGAAGAAGATTTTAAAAGATTTTCCCTATATATTTCTATATAAAACTTTAACCGCTCCCCCGGGGGTCATTATTTGAACAATTAGAATCTACACTATACCAGGATGCTTCCACATAAGTTTCAGCTTTTCTGGCCCAGTGGTTCTTGAGAAGAAGATTTTCAAAGATTTTTCCTATATACTTTGTAAAAATATTTAATATCAAATTTTACAGGATGCTTCAAAAAATGGCCCATTTTGAAAAAAATTTTAAGATTTTTCATATATAATCTTTTGATTGATGCCCTTCGGGGGTCATGATTTTACTTTAAGTACCCCAGGATGCTTCCACATAAGTTTCAGCTTTACTGGCCCAGTGGTTCTTGAGAAGAAATTTTTTATGCTAAATGAATCATTTTCCATTTTAATAAAATTGGATAATAAACAAGTTTCATTTTTCATTTGAAAATCTGAAAATTTTGGCAGACTTTTGATATACGATTCGGCTAGATAATTTTAATCACAATGAGCTACAGCCCCCCCCCTCCCATATGGTTATAACTGGTGAAAAACATGTTTTCCTGTCCCCAAAATATGTTCCTAAAATAGGAGGTGCACATGGAAATATATTCTGTATATCAAATTTTTTGGTATGAAATTAATTTAAATTATTCTTGTGTTTGCTTATCATGATAAAAAAGAGTATATCACATGTAGGTCAGTAGGAAAACATAACCAAAACATACATTGATATTGCAATTTCACAAATTTAATTTGCAAATGGTGTCAGTTAAATTATTTTCTTAAGCTAATTATAAATCATAGACAAATTAATTCATTGATTTTTTATTATCTGGCTGTATTTTTCTGGGCTGTGGGTTATGTTTGTGTCCTTTGATTTATTTCTGTGATTATATATTCAGTCTTGAAAGCCATAGTTCCATACTATACATTCAAAGGCCAAAATGATTGAATCAAAATCTGTGGCAGTTTCCGAGGAGATAAGTGGTTTCCTGATCTATTCCCTTTAGGAGCCTATAACACAACTTCACTGCCACATCTCGGTACCATAATCAATCTCTCTGCAGAGACCCAATAATAGCACAAAATATGACGAACAATTGGAAATCCCAGCCAGAAAACCCATCCATTCCAAACGCTGATGTGACTCGGACTACTGTTGATCAATTTCAACATTTGATTGATTTACAAGCTTTCAGGAGACAAGGCTTAATTGTTATTATGACATAAATTGATACCCCTCTCACACTGCCACTGTCATTATGGTCAAGCGGCTACAATGTTTTTGCTTGAATGGAAGGAAAACAAATTGAGTGCATAGAAAAATTAAGCTACATAAATAAGTCATTTTATTATTAATTTTGGCACCTTTGGCAATGCTAAATTTACAAGACAGTTGATCCTTGCACAAACACAAAAAAACTAAAACAAAAAAGGGAATGGTTTTCATTGGTGATGATAAATCAGGCAAAAATCAGCATACTTTTGTCTTATATAGTCTACTAATGTACTATCACTGTGTACTATTATTGCTTCAGTATTTTGTAGAGTCAGATTTCCCTCATAGGAAGACCATTAGAAAGAGAAAATGAGCAAGGAGAACATAATCAGGATAGAACTGTAATAAGAAAGGATAAAATGTATGGCTTAATTGACCAGGAATCAAACCCAGGACCCCTGCATCACTAAGTCAGGTGCTCTACCGACTGAGTTAAACAGGCCAATATCCACATCCCAAACCATTTCAGCAGGAAACTGGAGGAAAAAAAACTGCCCTCTAACTGACTATTTCTTTCATAAGGCATTCATTCATTAATTGAACTCACTAACTTAAATTAATTGAAGAATTAAATGCTGCTGATGCAGTCAGTCTCCTGAGAAGGGGTCACTTTGCAATACAGACTGTATAGATTGCCGAATCAGTGTTTTCTGCCAGGTGATAATATCTACTGTTGCTAATTTTCAATTTGAACAACACACTGGTAGACTGACATCAAAATTTCTCTTTCAATATAATTTGGTTTCTGT